CGGCGTGTTGCTGCTGGAAATCCGATAAATCCTCCTTGCCGGAGAGTTGCTTGCCATCGGTGTTATGCAGCACGAAATATTATTGAATGTGAACACGGCGAGCGCGGGACTTTCTTTCTGAATGAGACGCGGACACGGAAAATTAATGGGTTCGCCAAAAAACTGTACTTTGTAAATTTGCATACAGAATTTATTTTAATAATAAAAAAAAAATTCTTACGAGGACAACATATTTTAGTTTTTTTTTTTTTACAGAGGAAAACGATTTAAACATGAATTTTCATAAGATATTTTATTTGTTAATTTATTGTTATGCATTTTCTTTTTGTTCTGGCCTGTAAGATAAAGATGGCCCTGGTGCAATTTTTGTGTGTGGAAAAACGCATGAAAAGCAGAAATAAAATCCAGGCCCGTGTCTCCTGCTCTTGTTTCAGATCATTAAACTTTGGTGACCCGTCGTTCATTATGTGCTGGGGGATGCTTTTCTTAGCGCTTTGTGTGCATTCGGGGATAAAAACAGTTTTCTGATGTATCGTTGATATCACAAGAGAGGGAGGAAGAGAAGAATCAGCTTTGTTGTCGCCGTCTCTCTGCGACTATGTTGTTGTTGGTTTCTGTGTTTTTGCACTTTGTGCCGCTTCCTTTACACGACAAATACATTTGTATCGGATTCACAACAATGAAATGAAATTCCTCCAGAAAGAAAACATACGAATACGAATCCCCGCCTGCTCTTCGACTCTAATGACCCGCTATCGTCACCGGATACTTGCAAACATACAAACTCCTCTGTATATAATTATATAGAAGATCCGTCAGCAAGCACAGCGCGCTAATTGCCTGCGTATAAATGAAATAACACAATCCGCCGCCGTCGTGCACAATTATGAGAAATTTGCATGTGTTGGCGCGAGAGTGCTCGCGCTGAATATAATTGCCCGCGCCCGGCTTCATAGGCAACCAGCCCGACCAAACGCAAATTACTGTAATTACGGCAGTCGCTCTCTCTACTTAGTTTGCAAAGTCACCCTTAATGGCGTGGGACTGCGCGCGCGAACAGAAACTAGCTGTATTATTTATTGTGTATCGTCTTGTGCAACCGACACCGAGCTGCAGACTTGATGCTTATCAGCCCCGCAGTATAAAATTCAAGAGTATTGCGTTTAATTGCGCCCTTTGCTTTATGACCGCGGGTGCAATTGCACTTGTTTCAAACGCAGCACTCTAATGAGAACTCCCGACAGCTATAAAAGGCTAAACCCATAAAGTTCATTAGCTTCAAATTGCTCCAAATTTACAGCAATGATAATTTTTTTTAAGAATGAGGAATTAATTTTGTTTAGCTTTTTAATTTATTTTATTTTGATGTAAAAAATTAATTACTTTGATGCGAGATGGAAATGAAGAGATCGAGCTAAAAATTATTTTTATTCAAAGACTAACGATACCAGTTTCGGCCACAGTCTTTGACCCTATTTCATGAACAAAGGAAAAAAAGCAAAATTGGAAAAACATTTAAAACAATTAGTTAAATTGTTTTCAAATTTGTTGGTTTTTTAGATTTTGAATTTTTTCTTCTTAAAATGTTTTTTTTTTCAATACTGCGCTGATATTTTGAATTTTTTCTTGCTCATGAAATATATAGGGTTGGAGACCGTGACCGAAACTGGTAGAGTCGTTTTGAATGTGAATAAAACCAAATTTTCACGAGTAAAATCCCGATCTCTTCATTTCCGTGATCATCTTCTTGAGTGCCAACTTCTTCAATCAAATTTGATGTAAGATGTTGTCATAATTCAAATGGATAATTAATATAAATAAAGATTTTGAAGTATATTTTTATCCATTTTCTTTTATTCTATTATTTTTCCTCTTTTTAACAATTGCATTCAATTTGGTTGCTGATGGAAGATCAACATAAAAGGAACCCATGATTATTTCAGAGCCGACTTTCTAGATCGCAATCCTGATTTTATTTATGCATGATTTTGTTGAAACCATTTGAAGAATTTCACGTCGGCCAGCTGCGTCGTGACAAAACGGGGTGCTCTGTTTGAGAGAATTGCAAATAATGACCGTCGGCACCGTCGCAGACCGCCGACCGCGAGAACATTACCGGTGCCGCGCGCCCGGGACCATGAACAACCGGGACAAATTGTCGGCGCGAACCTTTGCAGCCCCCGTGCGGCGTCGAAAACAGCCAAGAGGACGAAAATCACGCGGCGGCCGATGGTAATCAGCGAAACGGTTAAAGTCGCTGCTCAAAATAAACCAGCTCCATTACACACTTTGTGCAGCCAGATGCGAGAGTGATAATGAAATAATTTGGTCGCTCGCTCGCTAGATTCTAGAGATCTGAAGGGAGAGCTCGTGGAGCGAGAGAGCAATTAGGAGCTTAGCCAGACGAGCCGCTAACAAATGAGGCATAACTCGAGTGATGACGCGATATCAAAGTCCAAATGAAACGTGCAGACAGCTGAAATTAAGCAGCCACATGCACGCACACTCTCTCTCTGATGCCGCCCGAAAAGCGGAGAAAAAATTTATATTAATTCATGTTCGCAAGTTGGACCACACGCAGAAATTCTGTGTCCATTAATTAATTAATTGGGCCTGGTGCTGCTGAAAGGAAGCTCTGTTCGCGACGGCTGCGCGAGCGGCTTCTAAAGAAGGGGCTGATTAATTTCGCCACAACTCTGTGAGAAATGGAGAGGCCGACTAATGTGAGTGGAATTTATTTGTGACGTCTGTAATAATTTTTCCTCTTTACTCTGCATAATTAGGAATAAAAACTACTATTTTTTTAATTATTAACGTCAAATTGTTTAATTAATAATAATAAATGTCTCTGAATATTTAGGTAAAGTTTAAATTATATAACATTATTTCATCAATTAAAATATTATTCTATTTTATTAGGTTAATAATAGTTAGTGTTTCACTTTTTTGATCAACAGAAACACTATTAAAAATTAATCTTTATGATTTTAAAATACTGTTTTCACTCCAATAGATTATATTTAAAATTAAATTTCAATTGAATTTTCATTCTTCACATGACTGCTTTTTTACCTCTTGCAATAGCCTGAGCTTGAATTTTGTTTATAAATTCAAACTTCTCTCCCTTGGCGCATCCCATAAATTTCATCCCCATAAATAACCTCTCTTATACGGAAAAGCGAGCACGGTGACATTCTATACGCGGCTCATATAAAAAATGGGAAAAATGCCGCAGCAGCATTTCATCCGCCTCTTAAGTAAGTGATATTTCTCGTGGCACACAATACATGTGGGCTTCACCTTTGCTCCGCGGCACAATGCACACGCAACTGTGTATCATTATTACCTTCGTTTTTTCCACGCATTTGATCGCAGCGGAGAGCGCGCAAAAAGGATACTCTCTATTATATATCCCGGCCGGTCCCCAATTGAGGCAGAGAGAGAGGGACACTTTTAGTGAAACTGCGGGAGCTCTTTCAACTCGAAATTACACTGTTTGGTTTTCCTTTCTTCGCTATTATTTGGCAACAAAAACAGCTTTATTGTCGCACGCAGGGGGCTGCTCAGGAGCACGGAGACACCCCCAACGTCCCTATTCAGGAATGTTTGCGTTGCATTTTAATAAATACTGCAGAGAGGAGCACTCGAGCTCTTTTATCAGAGTTAAATGTTCCGTTACATACGCACGGAAATTTATATGGGCTGTTAATATTCGGCAGGTCGTTTTGTTCGCTGTAAATTAAAAGCTACGGTCCGCGACTTTCTTTATACACACTTAACCCCCTCGGAAGAAGGAAAAAAAGGGGCTACTCCACGTTAAAAGTTAGAGGAACTTTTCGGTTTTAAACGTGCGGCTGTTAGATTCTGCGTGGAAAATTGCTATTACGCCATCAACGGCGGCGGAGAATCATTAAATCCAAGCGGCGGCACGCCACCCTCTCTCTTTCTCCCCAACTTATTAGAACAGCTTTCTTGAGAAGGATAGGAAATTGCTCGCCTTCCGTTTTCTCAGCTCCTATAACACTGCCGCTTTTTGCTCATTTAGCCCCCTCACTCTGTGGAAAAGTTACTTCTTTTCCGATGCCTTTTGCTTTTCTTTTTTTTTCGTCTCTCGCCGGCGGAAAAAGGTAAAAGCAAGGGGATGGTGCGGAGGAGCGAATTTTATTATTGCAATAATAATCCGGCTGTTGGGAACGCTTTTCCTCGGGGCTATTTGGCACGTAGTTTTAACATAATCGAGCCGCACCACTGCTGCTGCTGCTGCTGGAGAGGCTGTTAAATAAAGGAAGAGAAAAATGCGCCCACTGACATCATGGGAAAATTTACACTTGTGGTTTTTAGAGCGCAGGGTTGGCTCTCTCTCGCGCGCGTCGGGAAACTTTTGTTTCCTCAGCAAGATTTCCGAGCTGATAGCGGCCAAGTGATGGGGCCGAGATATATGGCGCGCCCTGTGCAACCAGCCCTCGAAAACAAACGGGCAAAAGTCGCCGAAAGCGAAAATCGCCGACGGAGGGAAAATCGGGAGAGAACTAAATGTAACAGGGGAGAGAGAGAAATGAAAGCGAGATGTCATGAGGACAATTTAGTGACGGGAAAAATGAAATAAAAAAGAATTAAAAGAAGCTACTGAATAACCTGGGAGGTAGGCAACCGATGCGTTTGTGCTGCACGGAAGACGTGACGGTTGCATATAAACGTTGAAAGATTTTGTGGAAAATAACAAGAAAAATACTGTGTCTTATAAAATGAAATTTTCAAATTTTAACTGATTTAATGTAAAAAATGAAGATGATGAATTATCTAAGAGCTTCATCAGCCGAAAATTTCCTCCGATATTATTGCTACACTTTAAATTTAAAACAGTAAACATATTTAAGATACAAATAACAATCATGATACAACAACTATATCTTAAATAAATTTTTTCAATTCAAATTTGATCGGATTTTTCTTTTTTTGTGTGGGAATAGTTGAAATTTTAGAAAAAACTTTGTACTTACATTGTGAAGTTTGTAGTAGAGTCCACAAGCGTTGCAGACAGGCTCTCCATTCTGGTTGCGCCTCCAAAGGGTGGTCATGGTGGTTTTGCAATTGGCACACGAGGTGCCAGCCCGCCTGGCAGCACTCTGCAAGCACCACACGGACAGAAGACCAGTCAGTCATCTTATAGCTCACAAATGTCAACAAAGAGAATTTCGCAAATCGCGGTGCTACTTTAAATACTCCTCAAACAATTTATTATTCTCCCCGCTCATTAAAAACACAGACTTATGGCGGCGGCAAATTAAATTTTCCTCGGAAACGAGTTTCGCTGCTGGTGAAAAGCAGCGGGCAATAAATAACTCTCGCCGTGCTCGTTAAAGTGGAATGTACTGTTTTTTTTCTTATTCGCGAAAGTGGCGTTTTTTGCAGCAAAAAAGAAGTGCATCCGAGTGACAGCTCAATTTAAAAGAGGCGCGCGCGTGTGTGCGCCGCAATTATATTCTCGCCGCGGTGAAAAATGGAAAAATCCGAAATGAGGAGAGTTTGTTTTGTTGTGTTTGAGATAGAGACAAGATATCGCAGTGTTTATTCCGAATCATGCTCCGTAATGGCGGCGGCCGAGGGAAAGCTCTTTCTCTGCTCTTCGGTCGGCGGAGCGGAATTTCTTTACAACGCTCTGCGGGCTAGTATATTCAATAGGTAGGCAAGGGGCTGCTGCGGCGCACAATGAAATCAGCTGTCAAACTCGACTGGCTGTGTTATCAGTAACTGCTATCACGATCCAATTACCAACACAATGGCACTGCCATAAGCTAACCCCTCCGCGCGCACCCCGTCCCACCCCTTGCCAGCCGCCCCGGGCGAGCGAGCGAGCGAACGACGAGCCAGCCAGCCAAGTTTGTTCGCCAAGGGTCGTCTTCTTATCGCACGCCCCTATCTCGGCTGATAATCAATATTTTTTTTTATCCTACTAAATGAATTGTGGCGAAAAATGAAATAAAAAATTAGTACAAGCGCCTCGTCCATATGTTTGAATTGCTCATCAGAGCCGTTTGACAGTTTTGTACTGAAGAGTAGCACGCGGGGGCAAATTAGTTGGTGAATTAGTAATAGGCGGCCGCCGTGTGCCGCCGAGTTTTGTGCTCGTCATCGGAGAGTGCCGCCGAAAGCACACACAGGCGGCCATGATGCTTATCTCTTGCGTTTTATCGCGTATTGAAATCTCCTATTTCATACTTGGTGGCGTAGAAAATGGGCAGCAGATGTGGACGCCTGATTCAAAAATAATATGCGCGTAGATGTTGAGTAATAGGAAGTTGAAACAATTATTTATTGATGTTTGAATCTCATGTAAATATCCAACATGGATTTTTTTACTCTCAAATAATCATATATCATAAAACATAAAAAAAGTGAAGTGTACTTTTCTGAAAGAAACAATAGTTGAAGAATAAATGATGGATTATTGTGGAATTAATTTTTTGTAAGTTTCCAATATTCATAATTGAACAATTCTCTGTGACTATAACGTCGAAATCAAGTTTAAGCATAAGCAAGTCAGAGTTATCTATGTATATAGAGCCTGATGAAGTTCAGACAAAATTTATACGCAAAATAATTAAGAAAATATTTTATATTAAAAGTGTTTATAGATTTCAAATAGATTTAATAAACATATTATTTATATTTAAAAAAGAAAATAAAAATTATATTAAAAATAATTTATATTCATTTATAAAAAAAAATTAAAACATTGTTAATTTTAATTTAAAAATATTTAATAACGTATAATAAAAAAAAAGAGTTTATGTTATTTATACAGTTTAGAATATTTGATAATTTTTTTTCTACAGAAAACCAAATATTGGAAAATCATGTTTGATGTGTGCAACTTTATATATACCCTTGCACGTTTTTGTTTGTGTTGCGCCCGGATTTATGAATATGATGAAAAATTCCAAGGTTGTTGGTATATAAGTTTTTAAAATGTGTGCAAAATTTATACCGCGTGGCGCGACATAATAAATTCATCGCGGCCGCGGAGTTTTGAGAAAAAGCTCCTTCAACAGAGACACACACACACATGTTCGCAGCCTGTAGCTAGGATTTTCGCGTTACGGACGCATTTTATCGTGTACATAAATTGTCGAGTTTAAATCTCTCTGTGTATGAGCGGCGAGGGACACACACTACTTCAAACAAACGAGCCGCATATAAGATTTTGTGTAAATATTATTTACCGCTCGCTCCATGGCTGCGTGCGCGAATGCGCGCGCGGTATCAAATACGCTCTTCACGTTCACCAACGTGATATTATTTTCTCCGCCGCTGCATGATACATTATTATTATATTTTCCATCTTGTAAATCACGGGAGCAGAAAAAAGGCAGAGAAGAAGAAGAAGGTCTCTCTGTTTGTTTTCGGAGATGGCACGTTTTCACCTTAAAATAACCCGCGTCGAGACTTATCTGCCTCGGAAATCTACGATTCTCAATCCTTATCCCGGCTCCATCTCTTTTTTTATTATTTCGTCTCTGTTGCTATCCGAAATTAAGAGGACTCAATAAAACTGACACACGCGGATTTCAGCCGCGATAAATTTCCAGCCATGTTTGCACATCATCAGACTGCGCCGAACATAAATTTCAGAAAAAATTAAACAACTTTGAATATAAAAAATCCAAACAATTTATTTTTATTTTCTTTCGGTGGATCCGATAGATGAGTGTTTTGTTAACTGAAGGTAATTAGCTGCATTTTAATTTTTTTTCTTTACAAGCGGACAGAGCCGGGGGTCACAGAAAGGCGAGCGGCACGCCAGCACACACAAGGGAAATTTATTAATAACGTATTTTTGCTTCTGGAGGCGAAATTAATAAATAACATTTATATATAATTCAGGAGCGGATAGAGTGTCTTGATCGCGGCCCCTCCTTTTATTAATGGCCCGGCCGGAGAGTGAACGAGCGAGATCATTTGTAAGAAGACTCCTTAGTCATTGCGTTCGTAATTAACTCATCTCTCTCTCCACAGCAGCCCGACCGCATTTCGGTTCACTTAATTACGATCAATTAGATTCAAACAGTGCCTCCTTTCTTTTCTATTATGCCCGGCGTGTTGTGACATCACCTCAAAAAGATGATGCGTTTCGGAATTTGGTATGGGCCGCAGCTCGAAGCGTCTAACTTTTCCCCAAGTGGCGAATTTCTCGGATTTTTGCCGAGTTCTTTTCGGATGTTTTAATCTCGGGTTGCGATCTGCACGTGTCACCAGAAACGCGCAGAAGTGCCTGACATTGTACACAATGGGCCCAAGAAGCCGCCAGATTTCGTGCTTTAAGCACCGCAGCGAGCACACGCCATTATGCACGAGAGGAATAAACTGGCGGATTTTATTGTGAGTCACATTTATGCCGGTGACAAATTTTATTGGTGGCGAAAATTCCACGCCGGGTTTTGTGTTTCTGTGCTGGTTGCGTGCGTTCACTCACTTGAGAAAGTTACAAATCAAGGCAGAGATTTAAAAAATAAAATCTTTTTTGCTGGGAAATAATTTGCCGAGTGGAATTGTTTGGAATTTGAGCTTAGAATAATCTATGATAAAATTTATAATAAAATTTGATTATAAACCATTGTTATATAAATTGTTAATTTAATACACCTAGAAAATATATAAAAACTATTTTGTCATGGTAATAATTTATATTATTTAACATTGTTTCATTTTAATTTTTAGACATAAATTTTTTTAGTAAATTATTTTTATTAAAAGTATTAAATAATAAATAATAATATATAAAGACGTAAGACTGAGTATTGAAATGTGTATTACGAAAAATAAATTTCTATCCATGGTGCAATTTTTCAGCTATGATATTCATATTGACATTGCTTACATAATTATATAGAAAAATAAATTATAGAGAATATCAACTATTTATATTTTATTTTTAATTGTCTCCAATCGTTTGAATGCTCAAGAAAATTTTAGATTATTATTATATTTAATAATTATAAGAAAATAAGATTTTTGCTTTATAGATATAATTTATAATAATTGTTCGCGTTTGCTGCGTCACCCACTTGAAGTAACACCGGTGGCGCAATTAGCCTAGAAGCGCAGCTCATAAATAATTTGAATAATCATTGGGGAAATGGTGTTTGAGTTGGTGCGAGATGAGGTTGACAGACAAGTGAGTAAACACTCATTCACAGCCGCCATAGTATTAAAAGTGTGTGTGTATAGAGCTCTCATTCTGTGGGCGGACGGAAAAGCGAGAGGAAGAAGAAAGAGACGACAAACTGCTGCCGTTGCTTTTCTCCATAACTCGATTCTTATCAGCGAAACATCACTCCTTGTTATTATAAAAGGTTATCTTTTGTATACACCCTTTAATGTCTCGTTCAAAACCGACTTTGTGCACTCGTATAGTTTTCTGCCCTTTTCCCAAAGACGACGGTGTTCATCTCGAACTCTCGTCTTGCTTTAATTTCATTTTCCTCCGCCTCCACCTCTCTACTGCCATTGTCGAAATCTAATTTCAAGTGCGGTAGCTCTCTTTGAATTAAAAATAAATAAATAATTTCACCTTCATATTTTATTCATAAGCAGCGTGTTATTTGTCATCGGGAGGTGTGGCCGACGCGTCACTTTTCTTCCTCCAAACAGTCAAAATAATTTTAATTGGATTTCTTTTCGTTTTTTGGTGTCATACAAAAAAGGCGTTAACCCCGAAAAAGAAATTCCACGGTTTTCGGACTCGTATAATCGATTTCCGATTAATAATTTATTCAAATCAGTGCGTTGTAAACTCGCATGGGGCAGATGTTGAGATTCTTGTAACATTTTTTGAATTCTTCATTCGGCAGCAGCCGCGGGTGAAACTGCTTTTATGCGCATAAAATCACTCTGCACGCGATATCGGTAAGGTCCGTGGAGAGACGTTTGGTCGAAAAAGCCTCTTATAAAACCGAATTATGTCTCGCGGGCATCACTCCGGACCGACGGATGAGAAAAAGAAAGACGCGGGGAATAATAAAGGATTACGAGAGAGCGCACAAGGCAAAGCAGGTTTTTTTCCTTCAGCCGCATACAACATAAAAAGGCATCAAAAAATCGCCTCTCCCTCTCGATAATATTTTAATATACGAAT